GATTTCCCCAACTGCGAAAGCCCTAAATTCGCCGCATCGAGAATACCCTCGGGCAACTTTGTGACAAATCAAGTTTGTCATGCGTTTTGTGTTCGAGTTGATTTCCCCAACTGCGAAAGCCCTAAATTCGCCGCATCGAGAATACCCTCGGGCAACTTTGTGACAAATCAAGTTTGTCATGCGTTTTGTGTTCGAGTTGATTTCCCCAACTGCGAAAGCCCTAAATTCGCCGCATCGAGAATACCCTCGGGCAACTTTGTGACAAATCAAGTTTGTCATGCGTTTTGTGTTCGAGTTGATTTCCCCAACTGCGAAAGCCCTAAATTCGCCGCATCGAGAATACCCTCGGGCAACTTTGTGACAAATCAAGTTTGTCATGCGTTTTGTGTTCGAGTTGATTTCCCCAACTGCGAAAGCCCTAAATTCGCCGCATCGAGAATACCCTCGGGCAACTTTGTGACAAATCAAGTTTGTCATGCGTTTTGTGTTCGAGTTGATTTCCCCAACTGCGAAAGCCCTAAATTCGCCGCATCGAGAATACCCTCGGGCAACTTTGTGACAAATCAAGTTTGTCATGCGTTTTGTGTTCGAGTTGATTTCCCCAACTGCGAAAGCCCTAAATTCGCCGCATCGAGAATACCCTCGGGCAACTTTGTGACAAATCAAGTTTGTCATGCGTTTTGTGTTCGAGTTGATTTCCCCAACTGCGAAAGCCCTAAATTCGCCGCATCGAGAATACCCTCGGGCAACTTTGTGACAAATCAAGTTTGTCATGCGTTTTGTGTTCGAGTTGATTTCCCCAACTGCGAAAGCCCTAAATTCGCCGCATCGAGAATACCCTCGGGCAACTTTGTGACAAATCAAGTTTGTCATGCGTTTTGTGTTCGAGTTGATTTCCCCAACTGCGAAAGCCCTAAATTCGCCGCATCGAGAATACCCTCGGGCAACTTTGTGACAAATCAAGTTTGTCATGCGTTTTGTGTTCGAGTTGATTTCCCCAACTGCGAAAGCCCTAAATTCGCCGCATCGAGAATACCCTCGGGCAACTTTGTGACAAATCAAGTCTGTCATGCATCTTGTATGAAAATGCAGCCCAAATTCTTCTCGCTAAATTAGCAAGAAAATTCTTACCTACTTCGTGCTCAGACTCCCATGGGAAAGTAGGGCGACAAAGCAAGTCAGAGAAGGCCACCTCAAGAAGAGAGGCCTCCGAGTGGATTTCTCCAAGTGCGAAAGCCCCAAACTCGCTGCGTCGAGAATACCCTCGTCGGGCAACTTTGTGACAAATCAAGTTTGTCATGCGTTTTGTGCTCCGAGTTGATTTCCCCAACTGCGAAAGCCCTAAACTCGCTGCATCGAGAATACCCTCGGGCAACTTTGTGACAAATCAACTTTGTCTAGCATCCATTTACGAAAAAACGTTTGATGAGAGTTGGTTCGTGCCATCATTTGTTTGCAGATCAAGTTTGTCGTGGCACAGGCCTGCTTTCAAGTCACACCGACCAACTATTCGTCGATAGAGGTGAAGTGTATGTGTATCGTTACTTTCTTTGCAGCGCCTCGCCGACAGGCCTTCTAGAACTGTCTCACAATCGATCCTACCAACCCACGTCGCCGTTCACATAGGATCGGAAGTCTGCCGGAGTATCCTGTGTAAAAACATCTCCACACCAGATTCAAATAGTTGGGATTTTGCAATGCACAAACCACCCAGCTTTGGCTGTTGCGCATGACGAGTCCGGCCTTGCAGTGTAAATGTGCTTTGCCTGTGAAGCCACACCAGCACAAATCCATTTTCATTTACCTATCCCGACTTGGACTTTGGCATGACAAACTCCCAGGAGAGAAAAATAAAATCCTCCTTATGAGGCTGCATATGAGAGCATTTTGGTTTTGCAAATCTGCGTGGCAATTCTGGGGTGGGAATGTTTTTGACTCAGGATAAGGAGCTGGAGATCCTTGTTTTTTGGTGCATACAGGAATCCGCAGCCGACTTTACTTACGGTTACGACTCTTTCACCGACCAACCAAATAAAATGATGATAATGAACATTGTTCAATATGCGACACAGAACACAACTCGAAGTCGACGTGCAAGGGTATTTTAATATTGGTTTCAGTGAACTTGCTGCCTATCTTCATTGCTTTTTCCACATGCTGAGCGATCACGCTTTTCTTTTTTCTCCTCGAGCAATTTTCTTTTCATCTTCGCGCGTTCTCTTTACGAGGACATATCTCTTCTGCCAAAGTGGATGGCTTCGCCCCGGCGATGGAACGGCGTCCCGCCTTCGTAGCTTCTAGCTATCGAAAAACTCCTCAGCAGACTGCGAGTGTGGCGTCGAGCCAGCGAGGCTCGCAGTTGTTGGCTGCTCAGTACGGTTGCTCAGTCGGTAAGGTTGCTCAGTCGGTAAGGTTGCTCAGTCGGTACGGTTCCTTTGTACGGTCGCATTGCTGGTTCATGTGCAGCCCGGCAAAGAAAGGCCGCATTGCTGGTTCAGGAAGGTCGCATTGCTGGTTCAGGAATGTCGCATTGCTGGTTGAAAGCTGCACGGCAAGCCCCGGCTGGCTGCAAGTTGTAGGACTGGGAATCAAAATTTCCGTAGACTCGGTTCCTGCCTTAGGTGGCCTGCAAGAAACTGCACAACACACCCGGCCCACGTCGAAAAAGCTGCACTACAAACCGGAATTTTCGGAGCTTCAGCTGTAGTCTCAGGTGGCCTGCAAGTACTGAAGTGCACGAACAATCACCCTTCTCGCTTGTCAAAAGCTGCTCTGCGAATCAAAATTACCGGAGCTTGAGTTGCTGTAGTAGTCTCAGGTGGCCTGCAAGTAGCTGCACGGTCCACCCTTCTCGCCTCCTATGCGTAGAAATTCCTCGCCTGCAATGTACCTCCTCGCTGATACCGCTCCAGGAGTGCGCAGTGTAGCTCAGCGCCCCTACTGCTCCAGGAGGCGGCGGTTTGAGTATCTCCTAGCCCTACTTCTTGCCACTATTAGTTTTCCTGGGATGGTGCCTTCGTACCTCCACGTATGGATTGCAAATATGTCTGGGTCTGCAAGACTCGCAGTTTGTCATGCACATTTTGCATCGCCCGTGAAGTCTGTGATGCAGGTCCTAGCATCACAACTGTTTTTGAGGGCAAGGGCTTCTGGATGCCTATTACTCATGACAATTTCCCTGCCCGCGTAGCAAAAAGTGCATTCTCTTTGCTGCTCATGCAATACAGATTTCTTTGGAATCCAAATGCAGCATTACAAGTTCTATCTATCCAGACCCAGATATATTTGCACTTGATACCACGTGGTTGCCACTGAACGGAGGTCGCGGTGTACCTCCACGTCTTCTTTGCCGCCAGGCAGAGGTTGCGGTGTACCCTCACGTCTTGGTTCTGTCTGCGGTCCCGTGGTTGCGGTGACTGTCTGTCCGCGCGCCAAGCGCGTCCAACCATCACGGCGGGTCCTTGTTCTGTCGCGGTCCCGTGGCAAGCGTCCTTGAGTGTCTGTCCGCGCGCCAAGCGCGTCCAGTGGTGGTCGCGGCTGCTCCCTGGGCTGTTGCTGTCTCGTGGTTCTGGCGTCCTTGCCTGCCTGTCCGCGCGCCAAGCGCGTTCAGCCGTCACGGCGGGTCCTGGTGCTGTTGCGGCTCCTTTGGGCGCGCCGCTGCCTGTCTGTCCGCGCGCCAGGCGCGTCCAGTCGTCGCGGCGGGCCCTGGTTCTGTCGCAGTCCCGTGGAAAGCGTCCTTGACTGTCTGTCCGCGCGCCAAGCGCGTCCAGCGGTGGTCGCGGCTGCTCCCCAGGCTGTTCCTCTCTCGTGGCTCTGGCGCCCCTGATTGGCTGTCCGCGCGCCAAGCGCGTCCAGCCGTCCCGGCGGGTCCTGGTGCGGTCGCGGCTCAGTGGAGAGCGTCCTTGACTGTCTGTCCGCACGCCAAGCGCGTCCAGTCGTGGTCGCGGCTGCTCCCTGGGCTGTTGCTCTCGCGTGGCTCTGGCGTCCCTAACTGACTGTCCGCGCGCCAAGCGCGTCCAGTCGTCACTGCGGGTCCTGCTTCTGTCGCGGTCCCATGGGAGGCGTCGCTGCCTGTCTGTCCGCGCGCCAAGCGCGTCCAGTGGTGGTCGCGCCTGCTCCCTGGGCTGTTCCTCTCTCGTAGGTCTGGCGCCCTTGGCTGTCTGTCCGCGCGCTAAGCGCGTCCAGCGGTCATGGCGGGTCCTGGTGCTATAGCGGTCCCGTGGAAAGCGTCCTTGACTGTCTATCCGCGCGCCAAGCGTGTCCAGCGGTGGTCGCGGCTGCCCCCTAGGCTGTTGCTGTCTCGTGGCTCTGGCGTCCTTACCTGACTGTCCGCGCGCCAAGCGCGTCCAGTGGTGGTCGCGGCGGATCCTGGTTCTGTCGCGGTCCCGTGGAAGGCGTCGCTGCCTGTCTGTCCGCGCGCCAAGCGCGTCCAGTCGTGGTCGCGGCTGCTCCCTGGGATGTTTCTCTCTCGTGGCTTTGGCGTCCTTAACCGACTGTCCACGCGCCAAGCGCGTCCAGTTGTGGTCGCAGCTGCTCCTTCGGCTGTTGCTCTCCAGTTGCCCGCTTCCGTGACTGACTGTCCGCACGCCAGGCGCGTCCAGTCGTCACGACGGGTCTTGGTTCTGTCGCGGTCCCATGGAAGGCGTCGCTGCCTGTCTGTCCGCGCGCCAAGCGCGTCCAGTCGTGGTCGCGGCTGCTCCCTGGGCTGTTCCTCTCTCGTGGCTCTGGCGTCCTTGACTGACTGTCCGCGCGCCAAGCGCGTCCAGCCGTCACGGCAGGTCCTAGTGCTGTCTGTCCGCGCGCCAAGTGCGTCCAGTGGTGGCCGCGGCTGCTCCCTGGGCTGTTCCTCTCTCGTGGCTGAGGCGTCCTTGACTTTCTGTCCGCGCGCCAAGCGCGTCCAGCCACCACTGCGGGTCCTGGTGCTGTTGCGGTTCCTTCGAGCGCGTCGCTGCCTGTTTGTCCGCGCGCCAAGCGCGTCCAGTCGTGGTCGCGGCTGCTCCCTGGGCTGCTACTCTCTCGCAATTGGTGTCCTGGGCTGACTGTCCGCGCGCCAAGCGCGTCCAGCCGTCGGCGATGCAGGTCGGGGCACTGTGGGGTGGTTTTCCCATGGAGAACTGTTCGCGCGCCAAGCGCGTCCAGCCCTCGGAGTTGCGGGTTTGCTGACGGTTCTTCGAGAAAACGCAGAAGTCGGTTCTCCGGCCCAACAAACTCCAATTGGCCTCAGTCGATCAACTCCAGCTTTCCTGCAAAGAAAATGGAAGACTGTTGAGTAGTCCCGTGGCAAATCGGTTCTGGCGGTGTAGCGATTCAAGACCCTGCTTTCGCTGGCCGGCCCGAAGTGGCTTCAACCCGTCAAAAAGATCCAGTTCGGCTCAACAAGGGGCTGCGGAGATGTATCCAAACTAATAAATAAACGCGTCGGCTGCGGTTCGTCTGCAACAGCGAGTTCTTCATTCTGAGACAGCAGGCGATGAATTGCTGAAAATTATTCGCGAACAGCTTGCTTCTCCCCTACTAGGCTGCGTTGTGCCCACCCTCTTCATCCTCAGCTCGCAAGCTGCGGAGGTGCACTCGAATCAACTAGTTTAGCCGATGGATTGGAGGCAGGTACGCCACGACACAAAGCTCCTCTTCGTGGTGCCCTTGCAAGCTGCGGTTGGTTCGAAGACGAGGGCGTGATCGGAGGTGGGGGGCTGCGATCTACCCACAACAAAAAAGCTGCTTTCCTCCAGTGCAGCACCCAAGAGCTTGCTGATGCTCTACTTCCGCTGGCCGGCCCGAAGTGGCTTCAAGCCATCAAAAAGTCCGGCTCCATGACGTGGCTTCAAGCCATCACCATCAACATCGCCTTCCATGGATCTTCACCTGCTGATTGAGACAGTAATTCTCCGCATCGCAGCTGCAATATTGGTAATTCGGCTGTGTAGCATCGAGACATCGCGTTTTCGATCGCGCTCCGGCTGCGTAAGTAGCATCAAGACATCGCGTTTTCGACGGCAGTCCGGCTGCGTGGCATCAAAGAGGTTGAGCCAGACGATGCGATCCTTCGTTGCTCAAGGTTTTTACGAGGGTAGCGTAATATTACCTGGGGAAGTTCTAGATCGGCACAGCTTGCAATTGCGTCTTCTGTTGCCGATTTTACACTGGAAGGACGGCTTACTGCTCCTGCGCCGCTGTTGCTCCGCAGCTACCGGCCTGAGAGAGCTTTCTAGACGTGGTCTCCCAGGCCGGTAGCGGTGAGTCACGTCCCGTTGCTAACCGCATCGCCGGTCGTTTCATGTGTGTCCGGAGAGGGTGACTTCGGAAAACTTGGAAGAGCTTCGATTTCGGTTGCTGCGGCTATTCTTGCAGCTGCCCCGCAGCAGGCAGCAGGTTTTTAATCTGCTGGTGCTTCTGCTGTTGGACCCGAACACGCACAGATAATCTTGCACAGCCCGTCCCATTTAGTGACCTCCCGCGAAAACCTTCTTCTGTTTGATCTGGACAACCGGTGGATCAGAGCTGTCTTTCAGCGAGCGCTCTTCTCGTTCTCCTTCACTATTGTTCTGTTCGGTTTATTCTGCACAGGAGTCGAGGTCGCCGTCTTCTGGTGCTGCTGCTGCTGCTGCTGCTGTTGCTGCTGCTGCTGCTGCTGCTGCTGCTGCTGCTGCTGCTGCTGCTGTTGCAGTTATTCCTGCTGCCCCACATCACGACCAGGCAGCAGATTTTGCACTGCTGCTGCCTCTGCTGTTGCAGCGCATCGCACGGTTTCCGCATTTCAGGAGCCTCCTGATGGAAGATGTGGCTTCAAGCCATCAACATCAACATCGTCTTCAATGGATCTTCACCTGCTGATCGAGAAAATGGCGCCACAACTGCGAGACAACTGCAACAGTCGTTTGCTCGTCCGATTGTTTATTTCATTTAGAGTGACACTTCGACAGCTTTTATTTCGCCCTCGCCATACTGAAATCCGGGCCGGTCTTCGTCATCGTGGTGGAAGTAATTTTTCGATGGATCATGCGGGGTTTTCGTTTTTTCAATCTCACCAGCTGGCTCTCCTTTTTTCTTACTGGAACAAATGCAGGCGTGATTTGTTCTTCCGGAAGTAGTTTCTATTGCATCTACATCGGCAACTCGGGCTTTATTCGTTCGACCTTCCCGCACAACCGAAATTCTGGCCTGATGTCGACGCTAGTGCTTAGTATGACACGAAGTTGTTCCAATCCGGGCGCATTGCGAGCTGCGCCTTTCCCATTCTCCCGGGCCTTTTGCCACATAGTTCTGGAGGACGTCTTGCACTGGACAGGTGCAGCCGGTCTTTGTTTGTGTTTTGAATTCCCTCTTCGTTTTGTTTCCGCATTCGTAATATCGGTTTTGTCGCACATCCACCGCGGTTTTGAAACGATAATGGGAACGCGATGCTGGAAGCCGTGCATCGTGGTAAAGCTTCAATTTCTGTTCGGCCGGGCTACACAAAAATCGCCAAAGTACTGCTCGTCGAACTGGCACTTCATCGTTGCAGCCACCTCCGAGAGTGCAGGCTCTATTTTGCGCCCCCTAGCACGCGCGTCAGCAGCACCCAGTTCGGATGCGGTACTTTCTCTCGACGACATTAAGGTGGCAGTACCCATGGCAAGGATTCAGTTTCACGTGCGCCTGCCGGTTCCGGTGTACCGCACGGAAAGCTTTCCGCCTGACAACCAGAAAGAAGTGGCCGATCTGCATGACAAACTTGCTGCTTCCCGGTCGATGTGCTCTTGCAATCCATAACCTCCGGGCTCAAGAGTGGCAACTGAGCGTTTTGTATTTGCAGTTCCACAATGCTCTTTCCAGGCGGAGGCACTAACGAACAAGCTCTCGTCCTCGTTGTAGTTCGGCTTTTGGTGGCCGCTGCAGGGTTGCAAGCGCCACGGTCAGCTTCTCCCGCTTTGTTGGCCGTCCGTGCAGCGTCGTGTCCCGGATGGCGTGCTCAATCGGTGCGGCCAGTAGAAGCCAAGCCACGGCTTTTTCCCGAGCAGGATACCAGCCACCGATACAGCGACGGAGCCCGTAGCCCTGGGGAGCTTTCTAGACGTGGTCCCCAAGGCCACAGGCACGTAATGATGTGGCTTCAAGCCATCACCGTCAACATCGTCTTTCATGGATCTTCACCTGCTGATCGAGTAGCACCGAACACAGTTATTTCCACGCCGCTGCTGCCATCTGTGTGCTCACGCCCATCTTCCCTTCCCGTGGTCTTCGCTTGCCTCACCTCCTCCTGCTGCTGGAGTCGCCTACTTATCCAAGCGCTTACATTCGTTCGCCTTTGTGGACACGGAGCGTCGGCTTTGCGGAGTGTCGGCTTTGCGAAGTGGTAGAAGTAGTTTTGCTTACGTTGAGCTTGAGTAGTTTCTCGTCGTCAATAAAATTTCCGGTTCGCTGGCACACAGCATCAAACCGTCAGCGCCAAACTTGCCGTTATTTCGCTGGCACGCAGCATCAAACCGTCCGTGCCAAAAATATTGCTTTGCTGGCACGCACCATCACGCTGCCCTCAGTGCCAAAAATACCGCCTAGTTGGCAGACAGCATCAAGCCGTCAGCGCCAAACATCATGTTTGTTCACTGGTGCGCAGCATCAAGCCGTCAGTCGTTCTTGTTGCTCTTCTTTTTTTATCGGGACGGCAGTGCGGAAAAAACAGCTTGCCGCAGCACTGCTCTCGGGAGGTAGTTGAAAAGAAATCCTTCTGCTGTCCGTCCTTGTTCACTCTTGTTGCAGAGCAAGCATCTCCAAAGGATATCAAATTCGTGCCATCTTATCCGTGCTGCAGCTGTACAGGGCCCCAGCCACGCCTCTGTACCGTCGCCCCCTACCCGCAAGCGGGACGTCCGAAAAAAGTTGCAGCTCCGGGATACTTGCCTTCCTGCGCCATTATATTGTGGCCGTTCGCTGTTGATTACCATTTGCACCTGCGGGACGGTTCCTGCTGATTGCAAAATCCACACTGCTCTGCTGTGCAACACCCGTTCGACTGTGCCCGCATGTGCCGGCCGCTCCTCCTCTAGTCTTTCCCCAGGCTCGGGTAGCAGACCTCCGCCTGGGTACTGGACATGTGTACTGCTTGTCGACTCCGCCCGGGCTTGTGTTTCATCTTTCCCTGACCTCGGGTAGCAGACCTCCGGCCAGGTACTCGATTTCCGTGCTATTTGCCGAAATCCTCTCTCCCCAGGCTCGGGTAGCAGACCTCCGCCTGGGTACTTGAAATGTGTACTGTTGGTCGACAACTTCGCCCGGGCCTGTGTTTCATCTTTCCCTGACCTCGGGTAGCAGACCTCCGATCAGGTACTCGATTTCCGTGTTATTTGCCGACATCCTCTTTCCCCAGGCTCGGGTAGCAGACCTCCGCCTGGGTACTTGAACTTTGTACTGCTGATCGACAACTTCGCCCGGGCTTTTTCTTCATCTTTCCCTGACCTCGGGCAGCAGACCTCCGGCCAGGTACTCGAATTCCGTATTTGCCGACAGCTCCTCCTCTTTCCCCCGGCTCGGGTAGCAGACCTCCGCCTGGGTACTCGACATTCTTATTGCTTGTCGACCGCTCCGCCCGGGCATGTTCTTGATCTTTCCCTGACCTCGGGTAGCAGACCTCCGGTCAGGTACTCGAGTCCTGGATTAGTGGTCGACTTTGCGAACTTTTTCCCCACACCTCGGGTAGCAGACCTCTGGCTGGGTACTTCAGTATTCGAAAGCGTGGCGCAGTGTAGAAGTTCCGTCTCAGAGAAGCTGGGCCGGTGCATCATGAAGCTGACCGGTGTTACTACTTCCGCGTTGCTCGCAACGCGTTTCTTTTTACCACCGGATACATTGTTCTCGCTTTTTGCACGACGCTGCAGGATGAAGCCGGACCGCAAAAAATCACGTTTACATTCCTCGTTTTCACCGGAGCAGTGACCAGGGAAGCAGGGCACATGAACCGTTGCTGGCCACTACGTCTTGTTACCCAGCCCCGGTAGTATCATGCGTTGCTGGCAACGCTGCTTCACAGGGGGACGGACCGTCAGCATCCTGGACACCGCACTCCCAAGAAAAATGCAACTGCAGACCGGATGATGTGCCTCGTAGAATCGTTTTGCCGTCGCGGAAAGTACCTTTTCTTCACAGCGCCGCTGCGCAGTCGTTGCTCGCAACGAGCTGTCGTGTTTCCGCGGTTAGACCACCGTAGCCCACTCGCTAAAGGCCGAAATCCTGTGACGCCAACTTCGCAGCCGCAATTAGCGTTGCTGGCAGCGCCTCTCGTTGGTGCAGGTTTGAAGCACATCAACATCTTCCTCGCGGTACCTGCCACACGAATCTGCTCTGTTATTTGCACCGTCCGTTGCTGGCAACGCGTCAGTGTTTGATCGTTATTTTCACTGGAGTAGTGACGACGGAAGCAGGACACAACAACCGTTGCTGGCAACGACGTCTTGTTCCGCAGCCCGGGTATTATCATGCGTTGCTGGCAACGCTGCTCCACCGGAGTCCCAAGAAGAATCCAACTGCAGACCGGATCTTGCGCCTCCAACTGCAGACCGGGATTCCATGTACCAGCGACGGGCAGGAAGAGTCGTTGCTGGCAACGCGCTGCTTCCTCATCGTGGGTATTACCCGCGCCCTCCTCCCACGTTGCTCGCAACGCAGTTGTGGCCGCCGGGGACTGTCGCTCTTGATTCTGCTGACCGTGTCATTTTCGAATATCACACATCCTGTGCTATTAGCCGGAGCAATGACGCGAGGGCCCAAAAACCGTTGCTGGCAACGTTCGGTAACCAAACCCCGGAATTATCATGCGTTGCTTGCAACGCAACTCCACCTTCCGAGGGGTTGTCACTATTGACTCCAAACGGGAATAAAACGGTACCAGCCTGCAGGCCGAATGCGCCGGCGTTCATCCGTAGGATTCATTTGTCGCCACGATATTATAGCCGTTGCTCGCGACTATCAACTGCAAATTTGCTTGAGTCTGAATATTAATGCGTGTCTTGCATTCCTGATTGAAAATGAAATCTGTGTTGCGTCAGCAGCAAATGAACAGCTTCCTTATTGACGTGGATGTGAAAACGTAATCTGTAATGCGTGCTGGGCATCTGAGCAAGATGTTCCAAAAACTTCGTATGCTTGACTGCCATTGCAAGTATTCCAATCCTCCGAAATTTAGCGTGACAAGTTTTCAAACCGAGACAAATTTGCCGTGGATAGCAACGTGCTTTATCGTCATTTGTACCCGGCGTCGCCATTCGAACGCGCGATGACGGCCACATATTCCTCGCAGCACCTGCCACATTTGCTCTGGTATTTGCGCCGACCGTTGCTGGCAACGCGTTAGTGTTTGGACAGAAGTAGGAGCTGCAAATTGCGCACTGGATCATCCGCCCTAGTTCCAGTCGCTGCATTGCACACTGGATCATACGCCCTAGTTCCAGCCCCTGGATTGCGCACCGGATCCTCCGCCCTAGTTCCAGTCGCAGATAGCAGCAGCCTGCGCATGTATGAAGTCGCCGCCTCTTCTTCGTCTGCTCCGCGGAGGTGCGGCCGCTGCTAGCAACGGGCTTACACACCTCAAACAGATCAGTCTCGCCGTCTCGTCACCGTACAGGGCCCCAACCACGCCGCTGTACCGTCGTCCCCTACCCGTAAGCGGGACGTCCGAAAAAAGTCGCAGCTTCACCACGGTGCTTGCCACATTGCGCTACCTTGCCGTTCGCCGTCTGTTACCATCTGCACCTCCAGTCTGGCCGCTGCTTCCACTACCCACACTGCTCTGCTGTGCAACACCCGTTCGATTGTGCCGGCAGCGGGAGATGCAGCCTTTGTCTTGCTGCTTTTTGAACTCCAGTGCCTAGTCTGCATGGTGCCCGATCGCGCAATATCTGCTTCAAGAACCTCCTAGCCGTGCTACCGTCGGATCATGCGGGCATCTTGCTTTTTCAATCCCACCACCACCAGCTGTTCGCGTTTTCTTACTTGGACAACTGCAGGAGCCGTTTGTTCTTTCGGGAGGTGCAATTGCATTTACACCGGCAACTCGGATTCTATTTCGACCTTGTTCCCGTACCGAGATCCTGCCCTGATGTCGCCACGGTCACGGAGGTGATTTGTTCGAACGAATTGCTGTCGCTAGCATCAGATCGTCTCCGCCATGAAACATCCACCGTCCGCAGGACGAACCGCCTTGCCGAAATTCCTGTGAACGCAGGCGCCAGAAGGCCCATCTCGTTGTGCTAAGCGAGGCAACACTGCTGGGAGTTTGCGGTAGTGGTTGTGACGGGTCGTCGTGCTGCTGCTAGTTCACTCGGTTTGCAGTGGCGCTGGGCGGCAGGCTTCGTCACCGTCCAACAAGCGCGACGAACGACCTCCAGACTGGCCGCTGCTTCCACCACCCACACTGCTCTGCTGTGCAACACCCGTTCGATTGTGCCCGCAACGGGAGATGCAGGAGCCTTTGCCTTTCTGCTTGTTGAACTCCAGCGCTAAGCGAGGCAACACTGCTGGGAGTTCGGGGTAGCGGCCGTGACGCGTCGTCGCGCTGCTGATACTTACTACACTCGGTGTAATACAGTGGCGTGGAGCAACAGGCTTCTTCAACGTCCAATAATATGCAGTGCAAATATGTCTGGGTCTGGAAGCTTGTGATGCTGGGTGGCGTATCAGGAGGGAGCCACAAGTGCTGGCTCAGCATGACACGTTTCTGAGCTTCTAGGTGTTGCCTATTCAGCATGACAGACTGCGTTTCTGCATGACAGAAAAGTGGGTCTCTTTGGTGGCGTGCATGACAAATTTAAGAGTCATGCCAGACAAGCATGACAAACCTGCATTCTTCCAGACCCAGACATTTTTACATTTGATAAATAAGCGCGACGAGCGACGCAGAACTGCAGGCGCAGGACCCCCAACCCTAACCCTTCCCAAACACCTAAACCCTATATTTTTTTGATTTTCTTTTGTTTTTTACTTTTTTCGTTTTTTTCTTTTTTTTACTTTTTTCATTTTTTTCCTTTTTTTTACTTTTTTCATTTTCTTTTCTTTTTTTTCCTTTTTTTTCATTTCTTTTTCTCTGATGGAGCACGGTGGCTCGACAACGCACAAAGTGCGGCAGTAATTCAAAAAATCTTATAAGACGAGCAACTGCAGCTCGACTGCTGCTGCGCTGTAAAGCGGGTGTCACTTAGCAGGTGGCTTTCAAAAACTTCGGAAAATTGTGTCAATGCGTACTAGATGTAACCGTATAGAGCTGTATCAAACTGGTAGAAATATCTTCGTGAGTGCGGTAGAGGAAAAGGAAAAATCGTCGTCAAAAAGTCAGCGCTCGTCGTTCTCATGATTCGAATCATGGGCGGGAAGGTGAACGAGAAAATTCAATCCGGTACTAGGGGCTTAAACAGCAGGCTAGCTTGGTCTTTGTGTGACAGTATTTTTTCAAAGTAAATCTCAGCTTTTGATGTTCATCTTCGTCTTTGGTTGTGTAATTGTTCAGTCCTTTGTTCTTCTTGGTGCGGAAAATGGTTACTTTTGACTTTGATTACACTGTAAAAAGGGTAGTAGAGCGAAGTAGATCTGCAACGAGGATGATCTTGGGGGAGTGACTGCAACTTCGGCAACCTCCGGTCCTAGTACCCAAGATTCAAATCCCACCACGACGGGCGCGGGGGCTGCGCAGTCGTCGTTCCCAGCCTGTACACCGAAGTGTCGACGGCGCTCCGCCGCACGCGCAGGACGTAGTTTCCCTGCGGTAAGACCGTGGTGCGACGCTGGGGTGCGGCTGGGACGGCCAGGGGCGGCGGAGCAGGAAAGGAGTTTAGGTACGAGAAGAATCCGCCGATGCCGGGTTCGCATCTTCCCAGTTGTTCTTGCGCAAGATCCTCTGCAGCATTGCTCTTGCGGACCACCAGCCTTTTGCTTTTCCTCAGCAGCGCCGTTTCTTCCGATCCCGTAGAACCACCACCTTCCTGGGCAACGGAAAAGGACTCCTCCTCCTGCGAGGGACCTGGAGTGGTTGTAGAAGTTCCCTCACCCTTTCTTCCTGGCAAGTACGTCTCCGCAACCGAAGTCACGGTCTTGGCGGTCAAAGCGGGTCGTGTAGGTGAAGAAGGGGACGCGGTTGTTTTGAGCATGGTCATCCTACAGCTCTTTTGGACGACCATTTGCACCGGCCCCGGTTCGTCGGGCGTGTCATGCTGTTCCGCCTTGGCGCAAAAATCGCTGTCGTCCTCGTCCCTCGTCTCCACGTAGTTGTAGGCACGCCGCCACCCGGCATTCATGACTCGGAGGCAGTCCTCGCGGTATATCGTCGCCTTTCGCAGCCTGTGGTTCCGGCTGCGGATCTTTTTTTTGGCACGGCGGGCAGCTGCCTTCTGCAGGTTGTGGAGAGTAGTATTTCTCCATTGCAGTTCGCACAGCAGCTGTGCCACAAAGGACTGCTACTTTATCCTGAGTAAAAGCGAGGCCCACCCCAGATGAGTTTTTGTCATGCAAATCTACATGATGCCCGAAACGGTTTTGAGAAATGGTAACTACTGAGGTTCTGGAATTTGTGTCATGCTGTAATCACAAGACAAGAAGATCATGTGCATCGTTGCTCAACAGCCAAAACTTCCGGCTTTGTCTCGAACAAGTCCAATTTGCATTTCGATGCTGGCGTGGGTTGCGATTTTACACAGGATATCCTTTACGGACTCCGGCACGTACTCCCGCACCTCAGCCCCATGGTCGCTAAACGTCACAGTTTTCCGCACACGCTCCGCCCCAGCCGTGCTGGATTTCTCATCTTCGTTCGTGGTGATTTTGCTTCCGACTCTAGATGACCCTGGGGTCGTCGTCGCTGTGGACTCAGTCTATGGATCGCAAAAATGTCTGGGTCTGCAAAGTTGGAACTCGTGATGCTGCATTTGGATTCTAAAAAAATCTGTATTGCATGAGCAGCAAAGACGAGGGTCCAAGTTTTGCTACACAGAAAGAGCATTTGTCATGCGGTATAGGCATCAGGAAGCCCACCTCACAAAATCTGTGATGCTAGGGCATGCTTCACAGACATCAGGTTCAGGACCAGGAGTCATGCAAAATGTGCATAACAAACCTCGAATCCTTCCAGACACAGACATTTTTGCATTTGATACAGTCGCGCTCGGAACAATCTCTTCCTCCACTGTCGCGGGCTGCACCTTTTCTCCGTATCCCGAGTAAAAACGCACCCAACCCAGAGGCAAGATAGGAACGATGCAAGCCAAGCTGCCTCGAACTTTTGCGACTCACATAAGTACATACCCTAGTCGTGCCTGAGAACTATTCCGGACGCATCACAAATTCACTCCCTTAGCGGTACCCGGACTCGCAAATTGACTACTTACAAAATGCCTCGTCCCATAGGGAGCCGCGCGAGAGGTGTTCGTGCTGTAGCTGTTCTGGGCATGCAAATATGCATGACAGATCTGGTGATGTGAGGACGTTTTTACTCAGGATACAATCCCGTCCCCGATGGTCAGGTTTTTTTTTCGACCGTGTTCCAGCACAGCAATGCTGGGTCCTGCTGGCAACACAGGTTTGATCGTTGGTAAGGCATCGTGGTGCACGTGCTTGGTGTGGGCAACCACCCGTTGACCCGACCTCCGCAAAATCCTAAATCCAAACATGATACACGTGAAGATGGGCAAATTTCAAGACTTCGGCTTCGGCACTAGTTGTGTATATTACAATGAAGAGTTCTTGAGAGTAAAGCGAGTTGTTGATGTTGGTTGTAGTAGCAAATTTATACTCCTCGAGAATGGTTGATCTTTTACTAGTTGATGTTGTAGCGCCACCTTTCACTACACTTAAATGAAATCAAAATCAAAATCAAAAATGAAGCAATCAAAAACAAGAGCAGAATCAAATTGAATTTGAAAGAAAAAGAAAAATCAAAATTTGTCTCAAAGAGACCCGCACTGTGACAAGAGTTTGGGAAAAGTTGTTCGATCTTGCAAAGTTTCATGCATACGAAGACATCAGAACTGCTCACTGACTGACGAAGCTTACTGTCTGGCGGCTTTGCAGTAACCGGTTTGCTTTTCCACGACAATTACACGAAATCAACGACCCCAAAAGACGAGAGTGAATGCTTGCTGTGCGACGTCAAGTAGAGAATTACATGCTCATCACGAAAGATTCAGTAACGAGGTGGCCAAGACAATTTTGCTCAAACTTGGTCAAATAAATGCATGAGCTATTTTTACTTCTCATGAAACGATCACGATAAATATTTCTTGAAAGTGCAATGCTGTGACGATATGAGACCAAAGCTACTGACTCACTTTCACGACCGAGAGGATGTTCTTGATGTGCAACATTTTCTAATCAGCTTCAGCTGCAGCTCCGGCTGCAGTTACAAAAATATACCGGAGGCTTCGCGCTGCTCAAAACTTGTTTTGCTAGTGCTTACCGATTTTTAAGGAGTTTCGAAATTAGACGATACGGAACAACACCACAAAAATTCCGACTTGAGGGTGCCCGCAAGTCGAATCACGCTAGCAAAGCTAGCTTCTGCGTGTCTATATCCGAAAGCGTGTGTCCGCCATGTCCCAGCGGCCGCAGCTGTTTTCAGAGTCACAGTACGCAATGCCACACTTCTGCTCGTGAAGCACAAGTTGCATGCGCTGCGCGCCTGCCATTCATTGACCAAACACCACGCAGAGGCCGGCGCGCGCGCTGGCGCATCGCCGTCGCACGGCGCAACGAGAAGCCCGGCAACAAAGTTGCCGAGGCGCAGACCACCCATCGCGCCGCGGCTCGATGGCCACGCCACAGGGCGGCGGCCCGGGCCACGATAGCCGGCCCAACCAAAACGCAGCGCGGGCCGCAAAGACAAGAGGTGGCGCGCACTGCAATAGCGGCCCCTCGGGGAAAAGTCTTCAGGAAAGAACACCGAAGGCGCCACGCCCTGAGCAGAACGCCGCGCCACAGATAGTTGCGCCAGGCACGGAGCCGCAACCGAAGTCGCACTCTTCTGCTGCACGACGCTGTTTTTGGCGGTCGAGCAGAGCAGGGCCCGGGACAGCCCGCGCGCGTGCACAAAACCTGAGTCGTCGGCAGCACGACCGGGCAACCGCCATGGAAGCAACGCGCCCAGATGACTGGCGCGCCACACACAATACATGTGCGCGCAGTAGTTACAGCTAAGCAGGAGGAAGATCATATCTGATTGTTATCCTGATCTGGTGTTAGTACAACCAAAGCAGAAAGAGACTCACTCTCGCACTGCGCCACTCCTACTCTCAAAACATGACTCTCTACGCACGGATACACTGTTTCTCCCAAAACTCCTTTCTGATGGCATGTTCGCTCTTGAAAGTAAGTAAGTAGAAGTGGTGTTTCTGCCTTCGTCTCAGTCCCCTCTCCAGGGGAACGCCCCCTTCAGTGAAACCTCTCGAACGCAACAAGGAAATCCGCCTGCCAGGACGCCTTCCTCTCGACAAGTCAAATGCAACATCTTCAACGGAAGGAAAAACAGCAATACGCACAAGCGTCTCCTGAGGAAGCAGCTGCGCAACCGGGCTCGCTAGGCCGCCGCGCCGGTAAATGAAATCTACTCACGACCCTGTCGCGACGTGGCGGGCGCGCAGCGAGCGCCCGGCAGCGCATGTAGCAGGGCTGTAGCGCCTGACGACCGGCCGCATCACAAACAGTGCGCGCTGGCCGGCCCAGCGAGGGCTCTATCCCAACAATAACACGGGGCAAGCGACACGCGCCGGCCACTGCAGGCAGCCCCGGGCCGTCCGTCGTGCCTCGCGCCGGCCGTCCAAATAATAGCACGGGCCGGAGAAACGGCCCGCCGAGGCAAAACCCGGCGCACAGCGCGGAAGGAGAAAATAAAGGGCGGGCCCCGGGTCGGGGCACCGCCACCACGAGGGAGCCCCGCCACCCCTGAACAGTGTCTGCGGGGGGTAGCGCGCTGCCTGGTCCACTTCAGGGCTCTGTAGGAAAAGCGGCGGCGCTCCGCCATTCTTTTTTGCAGAACAGCTTCGAGAGAAAAGGCTGGTCCTGCACGGAATCTGGGACGTCCACCTCGCGCACAACAATTGGGCGAGGAGCATCGCTGCCCATATGTCATTCCGCGCCGGTGTTATGTACAACCAACGCAGGCCATCATTGAAGAAACGGCCGCAGACTGCCGCGTCACAATCCATGCGCGCGCACTAGTATACAGCTAAGCAGGAGCAAGAGCATATCTGATTTGTTGTCACTCCTAGTCTTCCGTACTCGTCACCACGACTTCTGGTATGCTTCACTAACTGAAAGTGGTGCCATCATCTCCGGCCTCTCTTGTCAACATGTAGTTTGCATGTCAGCATCCCCTCTGAACCCTTTGTCTAAAAGTGTTTTTGTTGCACACTCCGTTCATTCTGTTGCTCCCCAGCGTTCGTGCATTTTTCATCGATAATGGGTCTCGTCGTCCCGCTATGAACATTTGAAACGCGACGTCTTCACCTCCACGATGAGACGTTCAGATCCAGCTACTTCTTTCGGCACCGCTGGAGTGCCCCGTGCTTCCAATCGGCACAGCTGGAGTGCACACTGCACTGTCGCCGCCGCGCCCCGACGCCGACCAGTCGGCACGAGAGGCGCGCAACCCGGCAGCGAGTGGCCGAAGAGGCGCCGGCAGCAAAATGACAACGCAACAAGCCAGTGCATGGGCTCAAAGACACCAGGGCCCCCGGCGCATGGGGCTGGGGGCCTGCTGCACAAAGAAACGGCAGTGGCGCACGCAGCCGGGGGCCGGTGCGGGCGAGGCACGATGCCGACGCGCCTGCCGGGGGCAGGCAACACACAAACCGCCCCCCCGCATTGGCAATGGTGGCCGGGGCCGACATAATTGAACCAAGGAAGCCCCCCGGGGCCAGCGGCGCCACGCGCCGCAGCTTTACAACCGCGCCGGCCGCCGGCTACGGTTCCAGGACGAACGTGCGGGCTGCTGGCCCCTACTGGCAACGTTGGCTGCTGGCCGGGCCCCCCCCCGCCGACGTGGCAGTGTTTGCAGAAACACTGCACAGGGGCGGCACAGCCCGCGCGCGTGCACAAAACCTAACTCGTCGGCAGCATGACCGGGCAACCGCCATGGAAGCAACGCGCTCAGATGACTGGCGCGTCACACACAATACATGTGCGCGCAGTAGTTACAGCTAAGCAGGAGGAAGACCACATCTGATTGTTATCCTGATCTGGTGTTAGTGCAGCCAAAGCAGAAAGAGACTCACTCTCGCACTGCACCACTCCTACTCTCAACACATGACTCTCTACGCACGGATACACTCTTTCTCCCAAAACTCCTTTCTGATGGCATGTTCGCTCTTGAAAGTAAGTAGAACTAGTGTTGCCACCTTCGTCTCAGTCCCCTCTCAAGGGGAACCTCCCTTTCAGTGAAACCTCTCGAACGCAGCAAGGAATGAAATCCGCCTGCCAGGACGCCTTCCTCTCGATCAGTCAAATGCAACATCAACGTAAGGGAAAACAGCAACACGCGCAAGCGCCTCCTGAGGAACCAGCTGCGCAACCGGGCTGGGCCGCCGCGCCGGTAGATGAAATCTACTGACGACCGTGATGCGACATCGCGCGCAGCGAGCGCCCGGCAGCGCAGGTAGCAGCGCTGTAACACCCAACGGCCGACCGCATCAAAGTGCGCGCTGGCCGGCCAAGCGAGGGCTCCATCCCAACAAGAGCACGGGGTAGGCGCCACACGCTTGCCGCTGCAAGCAGCCTCGGGCCCTCTGTCGCACCTCGCGCCGGCCGCCCAGATGATAATAGCACGGGGAAACGGCCCGCCGAACCAAAACGCGGCGCGCGGCGCGGAAGAAGAAAAGGGCGGGCCCCAGTTAGGGGCCCCGCCGTCTCTCTCTGCAGCAGCGGCAGCAGCTGTAGCGAGTTGCTCACTTCTGCAGTAGCGGCAGAAGCTTTCTGATCAACGTGCATCAGTACTACTTGAGAGCACACAGCCCGGAGCGTGTAACTTTCCGTCTCACCAGCTCGCGGTCCAATTTTCACGGCCCCACGGGCGGTGGTGCGTGTGCCAGTGGCTGTGCCAGCTGTACCGCCCACCATTCTCCTCCGGGCAGGGATTATAGTGGCTATTCTACCTCCCCCCACACCACGCAGGTTGTGAAGGCGAGCAGCCAAATCCTCGGTAGAAACCTCCAACAAGGGACCACCGCAGGAGCACGCACCGGGACCACTGACCGCCATAGAAGAAACAGCCGCAGACTGCCGAGTCACAATCCATGCGCGCGTACTAGCATACAGCTAAGCAGGAAGAGCAAGAGCATATCTGATTTGTTGTCACTCCTAGTCTTCCGTACTCGTCACCACGACTTCTGGTATGCTTCACTAACTGAAAGTGGTGCCATCATCTCCGGCCTCTCTTGTCAACACGTTTGCATGTCAGCATCCCCTCTGAACCCTTTGTCTGAAAGTGTTTTTGTTGCTTACTCCGTGTATTTTGTTGCCATCCAGCGTTCGTGCATTTTTCATCGATAATGGCTCTCGTCGTCCCGCTATGAACATTTGAAACGCGACGTCTTCACTTCCACGATCAGACGTTCAGACCCAGCTACTTCTTTCGGCACAGCTGGAGTGCCCCCTGCTTTCAGTTGTGCTTTTCCAAGCCAAATGGTAATGATGAAGCGTATTTTTGTGAAACATGGGTGGCACACCAAGTAGCTGCCACGGTAGTTGTCTCGAATAATCACAATAGTGTAGCTTTGAAGATGAAAGTGAGCAGTTCGATCGATTAGTGCCAAAGAGATGCGCAGTGAGCGTTGCTGCACTGAAAACTTTCTGTCAACAAGAAAAAGTGCCAAAATCGTGTCTGTATCAACAAAAAAAGTTTCGGTGCTCTTCACCGTTGGTAAGTGTCACTGTCGTGATGAAGTTCTCGTGGTTTACTTTCCTTTTGCGAATGAAAACTTGAATGGGGCTGCTCGTGATGAACAACAATGAAACGATAAACTCAAAACAACTGCAAAAAACTTCAAAAAAATGTAATGTTAACTCAGGAATTGTTGTCTGCGCTGGCTTGTTCGCCAAAAATCTGTGTTGTATGTATGATTAATAATTATGACCGGCGTGGCGCTTCTGCCAAAAATCGCAATGGCTGTAGCTGTACTGGTGGTGGTAATAATGCTGACCTGCGTGCCGCTTCTGCCAATAGTGGTGGCTGTATTGGTGCTGGAAATGATTCTGACCGGCGTGGCGCTTCTGCCAGTCCCGATGGCTGCAATGGTGATGGTAATGGTTTTGATCGCCGCAAAAATGCGTAGTCCACCAATGATCGCAAAAATCGTCGTGGCCGCGGTGGTACCCGCTCCAGCCTGGGCTGACGCCCATGTCCCCCAACTCGCTCCTGCCGGAGCGCGACACTTTAGCACCAGCTCGCTCCGCCGGGGTGAAATGTTCCTCGGGCCTGGGGAAAAACTCACGCACTTCCGGCACCAAATCGAAAGAGACCCGCTTCGCCGCCCTTTTTTCCTGTGTGTGGTTTGCGCTAGGCAAAACCAACTCCTCTGTAGTTTCTGTGCATTCCAGCAGTCTCACTGGTCCTAGATCCTGCGACGCTGGTCCACCAATGACCACCGGCCAGCCGTGCAAAACGCCTCCGAGGAGAACAAGCTCGGTCGCGCTGGCCGTAGGCGAGGGGCAGAAGAGTTCGTCGGGGGTCTTCGCGAACACCGTCTGCGGGGAGTCCACTGCGGGGCTCGGGAGGAAATAAAGCGGTGTCTCTACTTCTTGCGGGCAACTTGCAGCGCCAAAGATGTCCGGAACTACCCCCGTTTCTACTTCCATTTGTTTCAACACTGACTCTTTCGACACTGTCGTCTTTTCAGAACCGGCTGCGGTACTTTCCTTGGAAGATGCTCCGCCCGTTTTTATCTCGGATGAGGAGTGGTGCCCCTCGTCGCAACGGGACAACATCAACAGCGCACTCTTCGACGGGTCGCCGTGGAAGATCGCAGCACTTGCTCCTGCACAGCCCGTAACCGTCACGCCGCCGGATACAAACTCCAGGTCGGTTTTTTGCTTGTTCCCGTCAGCACTTCGCAACGCCGGACCAGAAGGCTTGGGGGATTGTTGTTGTTCTCCTGCGTGGCCCTTCTGCGATGAATTGTGCGGGGACGAGACCTGTTTATTTGCAGTTTCGGTTTAATGTTCATCGGAACTCGTCGTACTTCTCAATCGGAGTAGAAAAAGTCGAGATCGAGACGACGGACCAAAAAGATAAAAGTCGATGTTGTCGTCTTCACATAATTCGCAATCACTTAGGAAATTCTCTGAGGAGAGCCAATTTGTGATGCGGATTAGCTAGTCTTCATCCCCACAAGATGAACCAAGACAGAGCTCGGAAATGCCGACCCCGGGCTGTGAAAAATTGGACAAAAATTGAAACGAAAGCGCAGATTTAGGTTGTGATTCAAAAAACTGCTTTTCGAAAAATCTCCGTTGGTTTCTTTTCCGAAAAAAAGCGAAAGACAGGACATCCTAGAAAGGAAATTCTCGGAACAGAACCAGTTTGTCATGCGGATTACCTAGTCCTCATCCCCACAAGATGACCCAAGACGGAGCTCAGAAGTGGCGACCCCGGGCTGCCAAAAATTAAGAAAAAATTGAAATAAAAGCGCAGATTTAGGTCGTGACTCAAAAATGTGCTTTTCAAAAAATCTGCTTTGGTTTCTTTTCCGAAAAAAGAGCGAAAGACAAGACATCCTAGAAAGGAAATTCTCGGAAAAGAGCCAGTTTGTCATGCGGATTAGCTAGTCCTCATCCCCACAAGATGACCCAAGACGGAGCTCGGAAGTGGCGACCCCGGGCTGCCAAAAATTGAAAAAAAATTGAAATACAAGCGCAGATTTAGGTCATGACTCAAAAAAGTGCTTTTCAAAAAATAAGCTTGGGGCTCTTTTCCGAAAAAGCGCGAAAGGCAAGACATCCTAGATACTTCTACTCATTATGAACCAGCAACAGCATGTGCATTAAGTACCTCTTTGACCAAGGAGAGCCTGTCTCTCCTCCTTCGTCGCGCTCGCCGGCTTGTCCTCGTGCTAGCCCCAGCGGTGAAGTTTATCTTTCCAAGGCCGTCCGGATCCAAGCTCACGTCCACCAAGACGGACTCTTGTTTATTTGCGCCGGACTTTATTCTGGTCGGCGTGGCGGGTTGGGACTGTCCCTTCGAATGTTGCTCAAAGTGCAGCACGTTGATACACCCATTGCCCATGATGCCGTCAGCACCAACACCCAGATTCGTAACCGCCGCCGCGGTGTTGCTCTTGCGACCGTCCTCGCCGTCATGTTGATCCTTGGCGGAATCTGATAAAGCGTTCTTGTGTGTAGTTTCTCGCGCGCGGACCTCCCCGACCCTCCGCCGGTGCTCCGGCTTCGCGGTCCTCTTCACTGTCGTTTCCTTCACGTTGTTCACTTGGAACGCGGAACGGGCTGCGAGCGTGGAACGCGGTGCGGACTTTTTTTGTTTCATTTCCACAGCCAATTTGTTCTGCTGCGTGACCGCTGGCTTCTTCGACAAATGCTGGGAAGTGGAGCGAGTTCGGGGTGGCAGCTCCTCCAAGAACGCGCTGAGCGACGTTTCATGTAGTTCTTTAACCTGTGTCGTTTCACCTTCTTTAGTAGCATCTCCAGGCGCGGACTGCTGCTCCGGACCACTTGTGTTCGACTCCAGCAGACGAGGAGCTGCCAAAGCGGAATTGCAGGTTGTTGTATCTTCAGACGCGTTTCGCGTAGATGAACTCTGCGTCTCAGTAGTAGTTTCATGCGTCCTCGACTTGGACATCGCGATTACAGCCGGATCTGAATCGCCCTCGTCCACCTCCACACTTGCGCATTTCTGGCGAGAAATCACCTCGGCAATGCTGTCACCGTGTTTTTCTTGTACCGAGTCTGACTGACCAGGCTTCGCGAAGAAACAGGTCGATGCTTTTATCCCAATGTCTGAAAATTCCAGTCCGAGACCGAGGGAAGGGTGCACGCACGGATCTGCATCTTCCGATCCATTTTTTAACGGTTTCGCATCATCTCCTCGTTTTGCTGCAACTTGTATTCCAAAGGACGCGCCGTCGGCTTGATGCGACGGGACTAGCCCAGTTGTGGTTTCTTTCAGAAACCCCAGCTGAAGATGAGAAGCGCTTGGTGGAACGAGAAACTCCGGCTCCGGATGCTCCGTCTTATTTGGCGTGGTGCTGCACAAGTCTCTAAAGTTGTGTTTTCCGCCCATGCCATCCCGCTTTTTCTTCCGCTGTCGCTTCGATCTTCGCTGTTGTTGGGACGACGTCGCTTCGCTGCTCTTCGGACTACTTTTAGAGGGACGGCTGCAAATATCGTGGTCGCCGCTTTGCTTTGGTTCCACGACGTTGTGGCCCCCTCCCTCTTGTCGATCAGCAGCTCCAGCCGCTTTGGGAGTTTGAGTAGACACGCCTGATGTGCGGTGGATTTCGGGCGTGGCCTCGGCAGCTGATACTGTTGTGCTGTTTTGTTCTTGGACAACGATATTTTCAACCTCGCGTTCTACCAGGGTCCACGACTCAATGAGCCTGCTCCTCCTCCTCCGTCTGCGTCGCACTCGTCGGCTAGTAGTGCCGGCACTCCCACCACCACCGTTTGTTTCACACACGGTCCTTTGCTCCTCCACCGGGAAGGCTTTCGGTGAGCAGGTTGCCGAGAGGATGGCGAGGCCAGGCAAAGGCTCGCTGCGCGGAAGATGACGTAGGGTCGCGGGGTCTTCTTGTTCTTCTTTTTTGGGGTAGAAATGATAGGCATCATATCCCTGTTTCATCCCTTCGTCCACGGGAAGGTGGCTCGACCTGGAGCTGCTGAGGCGGTTTTGCTCTTCCTGATCCACCTTGTGGTCTTGTTCCTCGTCCACTTTTTTCGCAGCCGACGACAGAAACGTGACATTGTATCGCCTCTGCCAAAAAAGGCTAGTCGCGAAGAGCGTCTGCGAAGAGTAGCAAATTGTCTTGTCCACAACTTCAGGGTCATTTCCTGGAGCAAATAACGGTCCGTTTCTACTTCTTGCGGACTGTAGTCCCCCACCTGACAGGGCGTCATTGGTGTGGCGATACAGCTGCAAGAATCTCCGGAACGAGCAGGAACCGTCGTCGACTCGAAAAGTAGAACCGCATCAATGCCACGACGCGGTGTCAAAATCTCGAACTGTTCGGTTTTGCTAGAAGTACCCGCGATGTCGTCCGCAAACCCCGTCTCTACCTCCATTTGTTTCAACACTGACTCTTTCGACACTATCGTCGAAGCCGTTCTGTCAGAACCGGCTGTAGTGAACTGTCCTCCGACGTCGCAAGGGGGCAACATCATCAGCGCACTCGTCTTTCGGTCGTCGTGAAAGATCGCAGCAATTCTTGCTCCTGCACCCGTGGCTTTCGCGCCGCCGGATAAAAACTCCAGGTCGTTTTTGTGCTTGTTCCTGTCAGCACTTCCCAACGCCGGACCGCAAGCCCTGGTGGTGTGTTGTTGTTCTCCTGCGCCCTTCTGCGAAGAAGAATGAGAATCATGCAGAATTGAAATAAAATTGACGTGCTGTGCCGTACAGGTGCGGTAGTGGACTTCTTCGCATGTGATCCTCGTCTCATCGGAGGAAATAATTGTCGTTTCAGCTGCCACGACAGAGTTGCTCCCTCGTCCATCGCCAGACACGACACTCGCCGCGGTCGGCGTGTCAACATCTTCGTCACTAGACACTGGCGAGCTGCCGACTGCTCCCCCGGGTAGACAAAACAACTGCGAGGGCTGACGAGTCAAAAACTCAAAGGCATTCTTAAACCTGTCCGCCACAAGTTCCCACGTTGGGGAAGCAGAACTACAGTGCAAAATTGTCATTTGAAGATAAAGTTGATGCTTCTTTGAGTCCTGTGGAAGCCCAAAACAAAATCACAGATAAATTTTACGCAAAAGGATGAAATAAATCAAAAAACCAAAAATGTCGTTTTCGTTTCAACGAAATAGACAAAAAACGCTGTTTGATGAAAAATAAGAGGAAACGAATTTATTTGTAGGTTTTGTGATGGCGAGCAACGGTCGATGTTGAGGTGAAGAACTTGAACTCCAACAACACACAAGAGCGCTCATTTATTTATTCTCCCACGACAAACGATGAAAGTGAAACGGCCCCCACGATGGCAAAATGACATTTCTTCATGTGATCCAACAGATTCCCCTTGAAGGACATATTACATACATATTCTGGTACTCACGAATAAAATTATGCGCTTTTGCGACCATGTCGATCCACGAGACGACCCACCGACGCTGATAAACTTTCCGTACAAGTAAAACTTCAGGCTATCATACGAAAATTTGTTTAGGACTGCTGGTTGAGCGTACTTACGCGAAAGATAGAGGCTGAACAGAGGTTGATAATGGAGACAGTTATCCAACGAAAAAAGTGTTACAGTTACACATTTGTTGGAAATTTAGCAAGACAAATTTTCTCTGCATGAGAGAGGAACCTTGCAATGCAAAGATCATAAAAGAAAACACGTATGGAACGAGGCTCACATGCCTTTCCGGCATGAGAGAGGTAATCTCTCTTGCGCTTTCTGCAGTGTGTAACTGTAACACTTTTCTCTTTGCATAGACAGTCAGATCATCTTCATTAAGTGGTGGATCCTCAGTTCCATCTTCGCTACTATATTAAAACTCACGACCCACTGAATGCATTCAAATGACGAACAGGATCTACAAACCGGAGATCGGATGTTTTGTTTGAAACGAACAACCCCCTGCACAGGTCGGTGTGAACTAAAGCAGTGTGGTAAAGAGAAACCACTCGAAGACAAACGTCAAGGAGAGTCGTTGGAAAACAAGAAGCCTCAGACATTGTCTCAACAACAATTTGACTTCAGGATCAATTCTCGTCCTCTTCGGAGCGGAGTGCGAAAATGCAACAAACCAACTCCATCCTCGGAACCCAGCCGCGCAGCCGGGCCAGGCCACTACGCTGATATCCTGAATCGGCTGACCAGCCTGCCGCGCCACCATGTGTGGGCGGGAGCCGGCCCACTGAGGTCTGAGTCAGTGCGAAACACAAGAAGACGGGGGCGGACGCGCCGGCCCGCCGCCGCCGGCCCAATAGCAACAAAAGGCACGGACTGGTCGGGGGCCGAAGCTAGCCCAAGTCGGCGCGCGGCCGAGCGAGCGCTCTGGGCCACTGCGCGGGGGCCGCGCGCGCGGCCGCACCCGCTCGGCCGCTGCGGGTCAGCGGGTGGGGCGCGTTTGCGCGCACACAAAGAACGGGGCCAACAGATATACCGGCGGGCACCGCCGGCGTTCCACTCTTGGGCGGCGCGGCGAATGCGTTTCCCGTGGCGATGTCGCGTCCGTCAAAATCGCAGGCGGAACTGGTAGCCCCTTGCCATCAAAAGCGGTCGGAAACCCTATCAGGCGGGGCCACTGACGTGCTGGAACATTGCTACAGACGGGATTTCCGTTTGAAACATCGCCGCGCCGTTTATTGTTGCCGCTGGAGAGCAGCTTCTGTCTTTCAGCACCGGAGCCATGGCTATGACCTTTTAACCACCAGGAGGACGGCACAGGGTGCGTGATGAGTGCCGTCCTCGGTAGGCACTGCCGGATAGAAAACTACAACTCCCCATGGCTACAGGCGAGTGGAGTCTGGGTCCGGGAGCGCGCCAGCCGCGGCAGGTGCTACTCTGGTCAGTGAGTAGCCATGCGGCACAACAAGCAGTACGAAGTGCGACGTAGGACCGCATGAAGCTAGTTGTACCAATACAACTTACATCGCATCAATATTAGGTGATGTAAAGGAAATTGACAACGGTCATATCTCTGTGCGTCGCTCCCAACTGTTGGTCCCACATGTGACCTCAAGCAAGTCTCTCATGGTGTGCAATACGTGACTGTCTCCTCTCGCATTTCTTGCTCCTAGTGAAAGAAATCATCCCGCTAGCCCCGGGTACTCACACTCAGTCTTTTGCTGATAGATGAATCGCGCCCCGCAGTTATTTTACCCAAGCAGGTAATAAGCTCCCACTTTCTCCATACTCTGTGTCATATTGCCGTTTGCATCTTTAGAGCCAGACGGCTTCTTGCAATGTAAAAGACTAACGCTCATTGCGGTGACACTCGCTCTCAGTGTTTTGCGCTCCCATTTTTGCCACGCATGATATTCGAATTCTTTTTGCATGCACCCTAACGTAGATTTCATAGGCAAGGCACTGTCTTCTATTTCGATTTGGCGTTAGAGTACTACTTTCCGCATGAATACTTTACAAATTTTCCCGAACAACGGCAAATCACCGGTCAGCCCTAATCGCCCTCGACACAGGGACTTAGTACAGCGAAAGGCGTATTTGGGTGCTCACATCACGAGTCCAACTTGATTTACAGCCGGTCGCCCCGAGAACAATGACAGTAAGACGCAATCGCGCGCCGCGGAGCGCTTGGCCCTGCGCACAGCTTTGTGGGCCCGAACGGACCGAATACTGGAACCAAAGCTTACGCGCGGCGACACATGGGAATGCCCGGGCCCAGCTCCTCTGAATGAAGAAGCCAAGAAGCCAACACGCGTCGCCCCGCACCGGGGCAGGCGACCGGATGCCTGGGGCCGTCGCAACGGTGCGAGCGACCGTGCTGGGCCACTGCGCGGGGGCCGCGCGGCCACACCCGCTGGGCCGCTGCCTGTCAGCGGGCGGGGCGCGTTTGCGCGCACACAAAGAACGGGGCCAACAGATATACCGGCGGGGGCCGCCGGCTTCCACTCGTGGGCGGCGCGCGGTCTGCTACAAGGCGGGCCGATCCTGCCCGGCCTTCCTGCAAAAGGCGGGGCGAGCCGTTTCCTTCTCCTGCATCTGCGCAAGGCGGATGGCGCTCCCCAGTTTCGCGCAGCAGCTTTGGATCGTGATCGCCCACCGCCTAGCCAGACGCAACAGCAACCGCCCAGCCGAAGAGCGAGCTCCGCTCGAAGCTAGGGCTTAAACTACAGATACGAGTCATAAATTGGAATCACAGAAAAAACACGTGTCGGAAGTAAACAAAAAGATTGCAATTTGTCGCTCGTATCAAGAATACCAGAAAAGCGGTGCAGACAAGACAGCTGGCAACTCACAAGTCACAACTCTCGTTCTTTCTTCGTGGTGCTATGGAATCATGTTCGTCCTCATGAGTTTCACTTTGCAAAACAATAATACTCTCTCCGGTTGGAGCGCACTCTCAGCCGCTCACTCAACTCTCTCACCTACAAGATTTGTGTCCGCTCGGTAAGCCAGCGCATTCGGATTCAGATTCCCACCTGAACAATTTGCGTTCATCATCCAGCGATATTATTTCTTGGCAAACTACGTGTGCATCTCGAGCGACACACCAACTAGTGCTTGCCAGTCCTACATACTTTATTTTGTTGTCTTTTTTCATTTATTTTTTTCTTTTTTTTTCCCATTTTTTTTTTGCTGCCCTCGGGGTACAGGACTTTCAAAAATTCGCTTTCTACAGTGCAATCACTCCGCTGCAGTCCTCCCTGCGGAAGCTGAACTTGGGGCGCACTTTTCAAAGAACCTCTACAGCTCCAGGCCGGGAGGAAGATCCTGGGGTGCAGTGACTGCACACTTCGTTTCTTTTGACTAGATCGCTGTCTCAGCTAGCTTTTGAAGCCGCTTCTGATCATCATCAATTGGCCATGCGCCGGGGTACAACGCTGGCGGAGCACGGTTGGCAGATGGGACATCAGATTCGGTGCTATTAACGCCTGGATTCTACAACCAAAAATCCGGCACTCCGCCACCTCCAGCCGCCGACCAGGGATGATTGGGGCTGCAAAACTCGTCGATCGGGGTTGGCGCGGCAAATAGAGACTATTGCTGTTGCTGGAGCTGACCGGATAAGTACGACAGCAAAACGCCTTCCCCGCACCACACGCGTCCGCCTCATTCGGCTTTCATCACTACTTTGCCCACAGCATTCGACTAGCTTGTACAGATTGTCGGCGGCTGAAGACTTTTTGCGGCTCCATGGTGTGGGCGTTTCCTTTGTTATTGTTGTTGGCTTGTGCTCCTCCTCCTCGTTCCCCGCGGGTGGCACCGATAGCATCAGCACTGCAGGTCGCGTCACGGACTTGACACTGCAGGCCTCCGCTGCTGTTGCTTGTGCTCCTCCTCCTGGCACCGATAGCATCAGCACTGCAGGTCGCGTCACGGACTTGACACTGCAGGCCTCCGCTGTTGTTGC